TTATATTACAGCTGCCTGTATGACATGGGATTTAGCAGAGTCAGGCAAGCACTTCATTACAACTATCATCAATGGATCTGATTTAGTGCCTACATTTTCAGCTTCATCAGTTGATGACCTTCGGACTGAGGTGTTTTTTATGTTCTCCTCCATAGAACACAAATGTTAAAACACTTGTTTGTTATGGTTAGAATCTACCATGTTATGAGGATCCTTACCTAAAAAGTTGTTATCATCAGGTTACAGCATCATCCTGGTTAAATGATTTGCGGGATCAGGTTGAACATACTAGGGTCCTTAATGTTGTTTACCGTTCTGCTACTGCTCTGGGTTCTCGTCTTCCCTCTATAGCTAGTGCCAAAGCCAGAGTTGCTGGTGCTGGTGCTCTTCTTCGACCAGTTTCTAGCAGCACTAAGGTAAAATTGATAATCCCCTGTTTAATGAGATCCTCCAACTTTGTTGGTTTATTGAGATGGGCAATTCCGTTGTCTGATAAAAATTGCATGTTGATATAGGGGCTTCCTTAAGTGTTGGCCTGTAGTTTGAGCATCTCTCCTAATCATAATGCTTGATGAGTTTAAGAATCTAGATGCACATTTCAATTTTATGTTCATGAGGTATTCTGGTTTTGGATATGATGGGTGACTTCTTCTTTTTAAACTTCAGGTTGTCATGAAGGGTGCACAGAATGTTGCCCAAGCTGTTGTCAGAAGCCACTCATCTCTATCTTCATGGTCTTGCATGGGTCCCCGCCGTCGAAATGTGGGTCCAGCATTGAGTCCTAAAGGGGATGATATGACTGAAGCTTCAGTAATATCTGAAAGAAGCTCTGAAGCCCTTGTGACTGAAGTGGTTACAATAGACCGAGTACAAACCAAAGTGGAATGTTGTTCCAGTGGTGGTTCGGGGCGTGATGACACAGATGAAGATGAGCCCCTGATCACAGTGGATAGAGTTATTACTACATCTTCGGTGGATGAAATCACTGGTGGTGAGTTGTGGTACGAACTAGAGAAGGAGCTCAAGAGGCGGGAGAGTGAAGTCGATCTTCAGGCCCGTGCAGAAGAAGCAGCTGTGGCGAAAGAAATTACAGAAGAGGAGAATGTTCTCGCTGATGTATCGGAAAGTAAAAATACTATCCCTTCCTCGGATACCTCAGAGAACCTGCGCTTCTATCCCCCAGGCAGGGTCATGCATATCGTTTCTGTACCATCATCCTCTGACGCTGCTAACCTAGACAATGATGGGTCCAATGATGAGCATGTCGGTATATATGAAACACCTCGAGAACTGTACAGTAAGATCCGGCTATCGAGAACAATGATTAATGATCACTATATGCCCATGTATAAGAAAATGATGGAATTGTTAATTAGTGAACTTGAAAAAGATGAAGCGTGTAGTTATGAAGTTTTACAAGATTGAATAACATAGTAGTAAAAGAATCTTAATTGCACATTTGTCATATTTTATAGTTTTTTCAGTAACTTCTCGACGCTAAATTACATTATTTTCAAAAAGTTAAATTTATCGCAATCACAATCAAGACTCATTTTATAAGTTTACGATCTCATAAGTGTAATATGAAAATCACATTAGATTAAATATGTTCAAAAAATATTTGTAACAATTTAAGTTTAAATATTATTAATTTAATAATTTTTTAAATTTAAATAATATAATTTTAAAAAATTTAAATTCAAATGACTTAATGATTGTATTCAAATTTAATACGAGATTATATATATATATATATATATATATAAATGGACTCAAGGTCTTTCAATTAGCGATATACTTGCATGTGGGAGCTTGACCCAGTCATGCGAGCAACGAAATCCCACATCGACAGGCTTTGGAACATAAGGAGCAAAGCTCCGTCTATAGATATTGCATGGGGATGATAGACAGGGCGTAACCTGTCCTGTCAGGGGTGGAGGGTGACTCGTCAATGATCGTATTGAGATGGCGGGTCGTGCCAACACCTTGTACATCGAACACACTCTTTCAAGGCGAGTGAGTTCTGCCCTACTTAGGTGGGACTCGCCCGTCAATTTTTGGAAGCCACGCCTCTCGGGGCTGGGCTCACAAACTTCCACAAAAACTTCCAAATATTTCCTGATATGTAAAACTGGGCATTTTCGTAAATCCTTAAACCTCAAAAATGTCTGGTTATCTTCTTGACAGGTCTCGCATGGAAATTTGACCAAAATCTGGAGCAAAAAGCTTGGGAAATAAGTCAGTGATAGACTTTTAAGTTTTCTTCTCAATACCCACCTCAAAGACGTAAGAATCCTTTGACAAATAACTTGGAAAGTTATACAATCAACCCTGTTTAGTTTGGCCCCCTAGGCCAGTTGAAGGGGGCAACAATGAAGCAAAGAGTCATTTTTATTGAAACAATTTTCTTTTGGCGGTCAGCACCAAAATATAGTTGCAGCTTGTAATGGCAAAATGCAACAGCCTTTCAGAAGGATAGCCTGTCAATTTGTTTTATATTAACCACCATAGCGAGATTTGAGAGATTCCGGAGGCTCCTCTTCCATGATGCCTGAACCCGTTGTTGCCAAATATGTTCGGATGGTGGTTGTTCGGTCCCCGAGATACGTATGATCCAGAAAGTTGTTGTAGGCAATATCACTAAGATTCTTAGCTGCCAATACACTTAAAGAGTACAATAAATCAATGCATTAGCAAGATAGAACAGATCAGCAATTCTATGCTCCTAGTCCTACCAGAACACTCAGTGCTGGGAAATCCATGAATATTTTCTTGGATACTAATTCATATGACCGTATGCTGAAATTCATTGAATCAAACATCAAAGAATTAAGGATATAAAAGGGTTCAGATGGCTTATTAACAATCTCGAAACTAAGCAGTGAGCTAATTATTTGCTAATGGATTGACAACCCACTACTTTCTCCAAAATGGCTTTGTGTTACCCATTCAACACAAGGGTTATACGTTGTAAGATTACAGAATAAGATGTGCATTCATAGAAAAATCAGTACATACCAGTGTCTGAGATAAACACGGCATGGCAAGATATCATCTTGCCAAATCTTATCGATGTTGTATCGACCATAATGCTGGAAATAAATGTCCTTACTTCCTGTTCAAAGATACAAGCTTTTGTTACAAATACCATTGAAGCAATATCAAGAACTAATAAAAATCCATCCTTTCTTTCCCTCACAACCACAGAGTCACATGCACCCACCATAACTGTAATATCGGTGAAGTCAAGAAGCTACCTTTGCATCTAATTTGAAAGAATTCCTCATCACTATAACGAGCGCAAAGCACCTGCATTGATATTCCAAACAAAAATAAACCAAAAAAAAAAAAAAGTGAGAACTCAACCTAACATATAAACCCTTTGAGCATACTGCCATGAAAAGAAGAAAGTAATCAAATTTCACACACCGCAGGATTGGAAAAGGGCTCCCCATCAAGTGTTTCAGGCAAGACCTGTAAGAGAAACAAGGAAATCCACAATAACCATTGAAGCAATAAAATGGATAGCCAAGCACGAAATCAAGTACAAAGGAACTTACAGCTAGAAATCGGAACTCGAGTTCCCTTTCCATGAAAGCTGGAATCTAACTTACAGAGCAACATATATATGTAAAAGATGAAATCTTTCAGCTCAAATATTCAAAATTTTGAAACAAGGAAGAAAGAAATACCTCTGATTTTTGAATCTCAAATACTGTAACAATGAGGGTCTCCCCTTCACAAGGCTCTACACTTAAGCTTGAAATCTCCTGAAATTAATTACATCAAAATTCAACATTTGCCACCTAAAATTGTTTCAAATAAGTAGGAAATGATAGTAATTCATTTTCATCGTTTTCTCAGCAACCAAACATAGGATAAAAACCGTGGTTTCTGGCTTGGCGATGCCGCGGTCGAAGAAAATTGGAGCGACGTGAGCGAATACGCGCCTAAATCCGTTCAAATTCGCCGCTCTGAAGTTTAACAGATTCGGAAACGTACTTCTTGCGCTTCGTTCTGCTCTCGAGAATCAATAAAGCGATGATCAATGAATCGTGGTGACGATCATCAAAACGATTGGTAGCTTAACTAACTGTACATACCAGAGAGGAGGGAACCGAAGCCGCATATAGAGATGTGACCGCTCGGTGACAGGAGCTTCTCGAAATCGGACAAGTCGTCGAGCTGACTCAGCTCTGGTTGAGTGGTGGTGAGTTTCGAGTTGGAGTTCATTATCGGAGAAGGTATCCGGAGAAATTTGCCGCGGGCAGTGAAGGAAGAGGTTGGAGTCAAGAAAGAGATCGGCCAGAGTGTGGAGGCGCGTAAACGAAACGCGCGGATACTCGGGAGTGTGGTGGATACGAGAGAGAGAGGGAGAGAGAGAAAGAGAAAATTGGACATGGGAGAGAGGCCGAGAGCGAGATGGCGTGGACTTTGGAGCTTATGTTGCAATGGGCCACGGCCCATTTTTGATTGGACAAAGTTGGCAATCGGACAAAGGATGGGGGTGTTTTTGTCAATTAGAACTAGGACAGAAGTCACGTGACGGGCTCGTGAATACAATATTACGTCTTTTAACATTCTTCTTTTGTCAAATTTATTAATATTCTTGCTCCGATAAATAAATATTTATAATTTTAAAAGATTTATAAATTTTTATTATTATATATTTATGATGTGATATTTTATGTTTAAACAATAATTTATAAATATTATACATTATGTCACGAAATTATTTTTTTTTTAAAAAAAATTAACTTGATAGTGTATAGTATCTATATTTATAAATTTTTTAAAAATTTATTTTGCTTGTCTTTCATTAGAGTAGTTTGACGTAATGTGAATTTATTTTTAAATCATTTTATCATGAAATCATTATATTTTTTTTAAAAGATTAATTTAATAAGACGTGTAATATTCATGTTTATAAGTTTTACAGAATTTTTTATTTATCTTATATGATGTGAAATTAAGTAACGAATCTACTGAGAGATTGAATGTATTTGAAACTTGAAAGCATCTGCTGAGGCAGATGCAGCTTATGAGCTCTTTCGAACAGGTTTACATCCATACATAATATATTACAATAGAGCTAACAGATAGAATCACCTAAAGAGAAAGGCAATGGCCAACAAGCAGTTAGGCAAGTTTCTTCATTCCAGCTTTTTTGGAGGCCTTGACGAGGTTGACCTCTCGAGACAGCGTGGGGTGAAAGAAGAGGCAGATAGCCGACATATCATCCATGGCAATGCCTCTTTTCTTATATTTCCATGCTCGGATGGCACATTGAACCAATTTTTTGGCTGATTTTTCCCTATCTTCTGCTGAAGAAACAATCTCCACTGCTTCTTGGTTGGAAACAACATCCCACACCTAAGCAGCAATATCCCAAAAAAAGAAGAAAAACCATTGGTGATTACTCGCTCTTCTTTGTCTACAAGGCAAAAGAAAACGAGAAGAAAAGAGAAAGGGAGCTGCCACGGAAGAAGTTGCATACCCCATCTGTTGCTAAAATGACAAATTGGTCTCTGCCTGTTATGTTTCTTTGGGTCACATCAGGCACAGAAATGAGCCCAAACTCTTTGACGCAGTAGTCACCGAAGGCTCTTGATAGAGCTAGCCCTGGTGTGTTCCCATTAGGCATCCAGACCCTGTACACCCCAGGTTCATCTCTTAAACAAAAGACTAGACCCTTCGACTGTGTTATCCTTTCAGCCTCCTCTGTTAGCATCAACATAATCAAGAAATAAGATCCTCAAAAGCTGGGAGAAAAAGGGTACTAGTTAAATCAAAGGGAGAAATGGAGAGGGTCCTAACCGGGGATGTTAGGCTTGAAGTCAACTGTAAGCTGGAGTGGTACCAAATTGCCATCATCTGAGGTGGTTGCCAGGACCGCCCGAGAATCCCCAACATTTGCTATAACAAGATGTTCACCCTAGTAAATCAACAGGAAGAAATTAGGTAGGTTGTTTATGAACAAAAACAGAAATTATATATTGCTAATCATGTGTATACCTACCTGTTTGATGATTGTCAAGGCTGTAGTCCCACTACGGAAAGAATCTATCCCAGGATGCTGTTTAAGCTCAAGGTCAATGTCAGCATAAGTTTGCAAGCAAGATTGCTTCCAGACATCAAACTGATGAATACTTCTGTTCAGTACTTCCATGTCCAATTCCTGACCAAGTGAAGTTAAGGCAAGATTTTTCTGCCAGTTGCATAGTAAAGAAGAAGGCACTGATTCCCTAACCCTTTTGGCTACAACATGGCCCCAAGGTCCATGCCCATCGAAGATACCGCAGAAGATCATGTCTTCTTGGCATCCAAATTCCTACAAAGGAAAAAAACCATACTCATCAAATTAATCAGAAGGAACAACCCAAAAAAAGCAACAAAACAGCTGTTTACAATTTAAAGAAACTGATCTTTATAAAGTTTAGATTTATATATACCTCCCAGACCACTGCGCAATCCTGGTTGATTCCTTTCTGTCCTCTCTTGGAGCAGACGGAGGCAAAATTGCTCGACTTGATGGACTTGACTGTACCAGAGGAACTCCTCATCAGTTCATTCTTCTTTGCATCTTTGGCCATGGTTTCCGCTGCTTCTCTTCCAACATCCGTCTGACCACCATTCCTCCCTTTCTTGATCGAAACTGTTCTTGCCAATCCATCGAGAAATGATGGGATAAGCACCATCGCTTCTATGTTCTTGTTTCAGCCCCTTGATTCAACAAGCGAAAGACTCCTGCTTTACCAACAAAAAATGACTAAACATACAGAAAATTTACCGGCTCAGAATATGTATCTATGGTTTTTCTTTAACTGCATGAATACCCTTAAAGCTTTCCATTTTCCATTCAAAGAATTCATCTTTCATAACCCATAACTGACAGGCTAACTCTCAAAGAAATGTAGAACAAGAAAGAAAACGATCAACTCTATATATATATCTATGTCATATACCTTGTTTTCCAGGGTTTTGATTCAATAAAACGATCAGCTATATGGCTGAAACCAAACGATTCCTTGGTAACTCCGATGTTGATGGCCGGAATCTTGCGTCACTTGATTGAACCCGTCTGATTCTTGGAGAAGAAGAAGTCCCGAATTGCTTGTACTCCATTTCTTTTTGTCCAACAAAACTGCAAGCCTAGTGTACGTAGGTAATGTATATCTTCACAGAAAGCAACCATAAGCAGCAGGGGGTCAAAAGGACCAAAATATCATTGATTTTACTGCTGAATAATGCAAAAACAATGGGTAGTTTGGACATTTTGGAAAACAATTTCATACAAAACATAACATCATTAAGAATATCAACAAGTAAGGAATTCGTTATATTTTAAGCATCCTGCTCTAAAATTTATTATTTAATATTACGTTGGAAGTTTAAAGATCGAAAACAAGATTGAAATTAAACCTTAAAGATTTCGATTAACAAGAATATATAATGAAAAAGTCGGCCAGAAGCTTGTAAAATTTTTTTATTAACAAATCAATGAACGGTAATTAAATAAAATATTTTCGTGGATGAATATGGTTGGAGATAAAAATAGTATTAATCAGAGTAGTTAATAGAAGCAGTGATTGTGAAAGCTTTAGTACGTTAAAAATATGGAGATGACCAACATTCCAACTAAATTAATGATGTTATGAGCCACTATCAATAAATTAATAGCATTTAAAAGATAATGATAATTTTATTTTTTATTTTTTCCAAGCTCCAACGAGAAACACTAAACACATGGCTACCAGTTAGCCAGCCGAATTAAGGGACCATGGAGTGAGAGGCATGATTGAGACCCTTAGAACAAAATTCACCGCTGGATTGAGAAACTTGCTTTAATTTTACATGATTATATGTATATCCATATTTGATGTTTAACGTAAAAATTTAATAAAATTTTTATATATTTAACGTATCATGCGATATAATGTCTATTTTTATTTATTCTATAATCATTTAAATTTTGGGATTTCAATTATGTCAAGAAAATTTTATAATACCAAAATTTTTGAACCACGTATTAAATTTATTTGATAATAGTCTTTC